CTGAGTATAACAGAATTATAATCTGAGTATAACAGAATTATAATCTGAGTATAACAGAATTATAATCTGAGTATAATAGAATTATAATCTGAGTATAACTGAATTATAATCTGAGTATAACAGAATTATAATCTGAGTATAACAGAATTATAATCTGAGTATGAGTATAACTGAATTATAGAAATTTATAATCTGAGTATGAGTATAACTGAATTATAATCATAGTATGCATGAATTATAATCAGAGTATGACTGAATTATAATCTGAGTATAACTGAATTATAATCTGAGTGTAACTGAAGTATAGTTGAGTATAACAGAATCATAATCTGAGTATAACAGAACTACTATCTGAGTGTGAGTATAACTGAATTATTGTCTGAGTATAACTAAATTCTAATAACAGAATTATAATCTGAGTATAAAAGAATCATAATCTGAGCATAATTGAATTATAATCAGAGTGTAACAGAATTATAATCTGGGTATAACAATTATAATCTGAGTATAACCGAATTACAATCTAAGTATAACAGAATTATAGTCTGAGTATGAGTAAAACTAATTATAATCATAGTATACATGAATTATAATCTGAGTATAAAAAAATTATAATCTGAGTATAACAGAATTATAATCTGAGTATAACAGAATTATAATCTGAGTATAACAGAATTATAATCTGGATATAAAAATATTATAATCTGAGTATAATTGAATTATAATCTGAGTATAACAGATTTATAATCTAAGTATAACAGAATTATAATGTGTATAGTAGAATTATAATCTGAGTATAATTGCATTATAATCTGAGTATAACAGAATTATAATCTGAGTATAACAGAATTATAATCTGAGTATAACTGAATTATAATCTGAGTATAATTGAATTATAATCTGAGTACAACAGAATCATAATCTGAGTATAACACAATTATAATGTGAGTATAATAGAATTATAATCTGAGTATAATTGCATTATAATCTAAGTATAACAGAATCATAATCTGAGCGTAATTGAATTATAATCAGAGTATAACAGAATTATAATCTGAGTATAACAGAATTATGATCTAAGTATAACAGAATTATAATCTGAGTATGAGTATAACTAGTCATAATCATAGTATACATGAATTATGGTCAGAGTATGACTGAATTATGATCTGAGTATAACAGAATTATAATCTGAGTATAACAGAATTATAATCTGAGTATAACAGAATTATAATCTGAGTATAATGTAATCTGAGTAGTATAATCTTTACTAATGACAAATATACTTTCTCTTATCTGAAAAGTTCTTGTCAAAAATCATTTGGTTATTATGTAGTAAAGAATACGGCCGCACGAAATTTTGTGAATTGAGAGAAATGCTCAAAATATATAATATCCATCATTTGGTTCAATTTTGTACTTTGCAACGGTTCTAATAAAAAAAATTGAGGATATAAGCAGTAAAGAATCGAAATCTGAGACTGATCTTCATAGATTTTCATGGATGAAGGGCTGACCGTGTGTTTTCTTACGTATTACATATTCTTTGTAATTTACCGTCATCATATTACACCCGGGTAATGACAAATATACTTTTTTCTCTTATCTGATAAAATTCTTGTCAAAAATCATTTGGTTATTATGTAGTAAAGAATACGGCCACACAGAATTTTGTGAAATGACAGAAATGCTCAAATGAAAGCTTTTTATTTCAGATATGTTGGAATTGAAGACCAAAGATCAAATAGTTTCAATCTGTCCAATTTGCATTATTCATATTTTTTGTCTTTACATTCTCATTTTCTTCTGTTCCAATTTGTTGTTTATAAAGAAAGATTATTGAATTACTCAAAACAGTGCATATTAGATAGATGCAACGAGATAGTTGGAACAAATTTGTTTTTTTTTCCATAGCAATTACAATTAATTAAGATCAATTTTGGTACACCTCTTTTTCTTGTCAATTAATCAGTCATCATAAACAAATAGATTTATATTATCTTATTTACTGAATCTATCGATCTGCTGTAATTGTATGGTGTAGCCCATTCAATCACACTTGAGCTCTTCCTCATTGCTTTCGCACTTGCGTCAAATATCATTTTGATAATAACTTCATTGCACCAATTCGTCCTGCTAACAATGATAAAGATCTTCTTGGAAGCTTCCACTTTTACTTTTGAATATTTGCAATCATTTAATCGACATATCTGTGATATCTGTAACATTAATATTATATAAATGCCACATCGTGATTTCCAGGATCCTGAAGCATCTATAACGGTCAAGTAATTTTGAAAACGACTCATCTCATTCTGTCACTAATGCATTCATTGTTTCGCTGCAAAGATAGCACTTTTAAATTTAAACTTTGACTACGTGCATTATTGTACCAGTGCTGCTCTATGAAAAGTGATAAGTGATGCAGGATGATGTTATTCGAGCTTATCTGTGACATCATCAGCAGCACAGCAACAACGATTGCCAAATGCAATCGTACAATAATCAATCTTACATTCTAGTGGCATAAAAATGAAATTTACAATTAAATTATCATAATTCCGTATATTAGATAAAATTACAAATTGCATTAAAATGCATTACTGAACTCCTTCAATTCTAATTTTTTGTTTGCAACGATTTGAAGCGGTTTACTTTGAAGCGGTTTTATTTTTAGAGTAAATAAAAAGGATTTTCTGAAAATGAGTGAAAGATCAGAAACAGGTGATGATGAATTGCGCAACGACTTTTCGTTCTATCTCTTATAGTTCTTCAATTTCATTAATTGCAAAAACAAATATCTTAAAAGTTTTTTAGACAAACGAAGCTATGAATGCCTCTATCCTGGGTGTGCTGTGATCGCCGCGAAAAGTTACAACGAATATATATAACACATAGGAAGACACATGGTCAACCTTTCATCTATGAATGCAAAGTGCCCGGTTGTGGGCGAACATTCAACTATGGACCATCATTTCGCAGTCACAAACAGACGCATGAGCCTAATCCTCAGTGCAAAGATTGTGGCAAATTCTTCGCCACCAGGAATACACTGCAATATCATAAGAGCATCTGCCAAACAAAATCTCGTTAGTTTGCAAATTTAACAAAATTTTAAACACATATGTGAGTCTGAAATGGAGTGCCTGTGAAATGTACTATGGAACATCTGTGACCGCTGAACCAAGATAGTTGATACAACGGAAAATTCACAATTATATTTTGTTGCAAGGCTGTTGAAAGGACTTAAATTTATACTAACGTTTATATCCACCTCTTTTACAGATACCATATATTATTAGATTACTTAAAACCGAGGCAAGTGGATTATGACTGACCTGGTATTGGTTTTGCAGATGAAACTATGCCAGGTATTGAGCTATTAATTGCTGGTGTAAGTTTTATTGCTCAAGGAAGGAAGATTTATTTGGAATAATAATTACGCATGCACATGAAACCATTACGATGCAGTGCCTTAACTGTGGAAAGAGTTACAATGTCCCAAGTATACAACAAAGTTCACGACTAATTTTCTCAAGGAAAAACTGAAGGAATTTCTGCTAGAAGATATGATATCTGTGAAAGAGATGGATATAAACGGCAGTATAAATTTAAGTCCTTTCAACAGCCTTGCAACAAAATGTAATTGTGAATTTTCCGTTGTATCAACTATCTTGGTTCAACGGTCACAGATGTTCCATAGTACATTTCACAGGCACTCCATTTCAGACTCACATATGTGTTTAAAATTTTGTTAAATTTGCAAACTAACGAGATTTTGTTTGGCAGATGCTCTTATGATATTGCAGTGTATTCCTGGTGGCGAAGAATTTGCCACAATCTTTGCACTGAGGATTAGGCTCATGCGTCTGTTTGTGACTGCGAAATGATGGTCCATAGTTGAATGTTCGCCCACAACCGGGCACTTTGCATTCATAGATGAAAGGTTGACCATGTGTTTTCCTATATGTTATATATATTCGTTGTAACTTTTCGCGGCGATCACAGCACACCCAGGATAGAGGCATTCATAGCTTCGTTTGTCTAAAAACTTTAAGATATTTGTTTTTGCAATTAATGAAATTGAAGAACTATAAGAGATAGAACGAAAAGTCGTTGCGCAATTCATCATCACCTGTTTCTGATCTTTCACTCATTTTCAGAAAATCCTTTTTATTTACTCTAAAAATAAAACCGCTTCAAAGTAAACCGCTTCAAATCGTTGCAAACAAAAAATTAGAATTGAAGGAGTTCAGTAATGCATTTTAATGCAATTTGTAATTTTATCTAATATACGGAATTATGATAATTTAATTGTAAATTTCATTTTTATGCCACTAGAATGTAAGATTGATTATTGTACGATTGCATTTGGCAATCGTTGTTGCTGTGCTGCTGATGATGTCACAGATAAGCTCGAATAACATCATCCTGCATCACTTATCACTTTCATAGAGCAGCACTGGTACAATAATGCACGTAGTCAAAGTTTAAATTTAAAAGTGCTATCTTTGCAGCGAAACAATGAATGCATTAGTGACAGAATGAGATGAGTCGTTTTCGAGAACGAATATATATAACACATAGGAAGACACATGGTCAACCTTTATCTATGAATGCAAAGTGCCCGGTTGTGGGCGAACATTCAACTATGGACCATCATTTCGCAGTCACAAACAGACGCATGAGCCTAATCCTCAGTGTAAGGATTGTGGCAAATTCTTCGCCACCAGGAATACACTGCAATATCATAAGAGAATCTGCCAAGCAAAATCTCGTTAGTTTGCAAATTTAACAAAATTTTAAACACATATGTGAGTCTGAAATGGAGTGCCTGTGAAATGTACTATGGAACATCTGTGACCGCTGAACCAAGATAGTTGATACAACGGAAAATTCACAATTACATTTTGTTGCAAGGCTGTTGAAAGGACTTAAATTTATACTGCCGTTTATATCCATCTCTTTCACAGATATCATATCTTCTAGCAGAAATTCCTTCAGTTTTTCCTTGAGAAAATTAGTCGTGAACTTTGTTGTATACTTGGGACATTGTAACTCTTTCCACAGTTAAGGCACTGCATCGTAATGGTTTCATGTGCATGCGTAATTATCATTCCAAATAAATCTTCCTTCCCTTGAGCAATAAAACTTACACCAGCAATTAATAGCTCAATATCTGGCATAGTTTCATCTGCAAAACCAATACCAAGGTCAGTCATAATCCACTTGCCTCGGTTTTTAAGTAATCTAATAATATATGGTATCTGTTGTGAATGTATTGGATTGGATTGGTGTTGTGAATGGATTGAATTGGGTTGGTTTACTTGCACAATTGAGTCGAGTGCTTTATCTTGGGTAATTAAAACAAACAAGCAATCAGTAGTATGACAATTTAGTGACGAGGATGAGCTAAGCAACGGGGAGACTGGTAACAATGCTGGGAAGGATCAACTGCGGTTGAGTGGTAATTGCCCTTATATAGGATGATTTGAGGGTGGAGAGATAAAGCGATTGAAACAATGGAAGCTAGGAGGAAGGCTATGGGATAGATAGTTTTTGTAAACGGAATTAGATAACAAACAAAGGATTGGAGCAGATGTGCATTAGATAATATGACAGATTAGCAAGGGAATTTGTTAACACATTACCATCTATGAGTCATTAAGGAAATTGACTTACAATAAAACTTACAATAAATGATTAACATGATTTGCTTAAATATAAATACATTGATTTAAATTTGACCTTTTGCTAAATTCGATTGTTCGGTACAAAGATTATTTCTAGTGGAATTTCGAGCTTGTTCTCGACACTCCCGAGGGAAGAGCGAAAAGTGTTCTAATGGATAGATTTGGGGTTTATAGGATAAAACATTGTGATTCTCAACACTGATGTCCATTTGCATTCTTCTTCGATTCTGCTGCTTGTAGAATTATCGATATTGCTACTGTTAGCAGTAAGTTGGTTAAAACGAAATTTGACTTCTCCCTTTTTTGTAAATTTGTCTGGCTCCGTGTTCGATGAGCAATAGGTTGCTCCTCACCACTTTCACTCGAAATCTTCGTGTTAGTTGTGGTGTTTCGGTTTTGGATAATTGGTTCTGCTCTCTCTGATGGGTTCGCGGGGTTCTCCGGAGTAGACTGTTCTTCTGGAGTAACTTCAAGTGGATACAACGTGCTTACAGGTCGATTTAGAAGTTTTCCTGACGATGTTTCGATCTGAGCGCTCTGACGTACCCATCATTGGCTACGTTTAATTTCTTTATCCTTGCTAGTTTCCATGTACCACGTGGTGCATGAGGCTCATCTAGTACCACTTCTCCTTCTATCGGCCGTCTCTTTTCTACATTTCTTGAGATTTATGTTCTAATTGGTATCGATCCTTTAAGCTATTCAAGTATTCGTCTTTCCATATCTCCCAAAATGTTTTCAATGTTTCTAGGGTATTCGACCAGTGCTGAAGTAACCTTTCTTGTGTGGTTAGACTATAAGGTGAGAATTCGTCTTCTGTCGTTATTGCTATTCAGTATAGACAAAGAAGCATTGGGAATGATGAAGTCTATTGGTCGCAAAATAATTGAGTCGTCGAAATTTACGTAAGTTAAGGGGCGAGTATTAAGAATGCTTTCCACTTCGATAATCAGTGTGATTAGTTCCCTTCCTTAAGATCGTCTACCGATAGCTCTTCTTAAACTCCTTTTTGTTAGGCCGATTAATCTTTCGTAGATTCCGCCGCTCCATGGTGCTCTCGGTGTTATAGTCTTACATTTGATTCCTTTCTCAGCAAGGAAATTAGAGAGTTGTGATTCTTGCGTTTTTATGGCTTGAAAAACTGCCTGAAATTGGGTGGCATTGTCCGAAAGAATGAGTTCGGGATAGCCGCGTCGCGCAACAAATCTTCTTAATGCAGTTAGGAAACTTTCCGCTGATAGATCGTCCACCATTTCCAAATGTACCGCTCTGGTGGTGAAGCATGTGAACAAGGCGATCCATCGCTTTGCTTTTTCAATTGTATCTTCACAGTAATCGGCCCCAAATAGTCGAGGCCAATTCGTCCAAACGTTCTTGATTCAGTGATCCGCTCTTGCGGATAATTTGGCATAGGTGGCAATTTGAATGGCTTGGCTTTCCAGCGTTTGCAACTCATACAGCGGTTTAACACCTTCTTGACTTCAGCCTTCCTTTCGGAATCCAGTAAAGCTTTCTTATTCTGGAAATAGTTTGAGGGATACCTCCATGATGCGTCGTTTCGTGGTGGTGTTGAATAATTAGTTCTGTTATTCGATTGTGTCTGGGGAGATATATTGTTTGGGATGAGTATTCCCTGTCGTTCGGCAATTGTAGTCTGCTCTGGAATCTCAGTACCTGTCTGCATAGTGCAGATTGTACTTTTCCACTTCTTCTGCTGTTATACCTTCCGATTGGGATTGTTTTATTAGTAGTTCGCAGCGAGATTGTAATCCTCGGGTGTAATCGGATTCCTTTCTGATACGCTGCTTAACCAGGTTAATTTTCCTTTAGATAATTTTTTGAGAAATTTTAGTACTCTTACTGTTGTTCTTATCATCTTTGTCCATTTACTGAATCGTTTTGGCTCCAGGAGATTGATTCGATTTGTATTGATGATTTCTTCTGTGGTTGTTGTTGCTACTGTATTCTTATCTTCTTCGTTATCCTCTTCTTGTGGAACGTCGTATTCCCAATGAGGCCAATTCGGTTCATTACATTGATCCATGTGGGCCCGCTCCACCAAGGCTCGTAACTTATTAGACGAGTCGGAATGGTTCCTCTGGTAGCAATGTCTGCTGGATTGTGTTCGCTTGGGATATACCGATATGCGAATTTCGCCATTTGTATTTCTTCCACACGATTCTGTATAAATTTTGGTAGGAGGCGAGAGTTGTTTTGTATCCAATGTAGTGCACAGCGAGAGTCCGACCATACCACTACCTTTGGATTTTCTAATTGCATTTGTTTGATGACAAACTGAGCTGCGCGTACACCGATGAGAATAGCTAGTAATTCTAGCTTTGGTATCGTCATTCCTTTAATAGGTGCTAATCGTGATTTAGCAAAGAGTAACGACGTATGCGTATTTTGATGGGCGTATACTAATGCAGCATATGCCACTGTAGATGCATCGGTGAAAACATGAAAGGTAATTTGTTGTGATAAATCGATTGTGAATCGCGGGATTTCCTTGATATGAGTTGGGCGTTTTACCACAAGATTGTTCAGTTTCAATCAATTGATTGTCGAGGGGTTGATCCCAATGTATGTTTTCTCCAGAGTTCTTGGAGAAATATCTTGAACGGTACTATCAGTGGTACTAGGAATCCAAGTGGGTCGTATTGTGAGGCGATGAACCGTAGAATAGTTCTTTTTGTTGTTGTTTGTTCGGTCCATGGATTTAGTGTTATTTGGATATGATCCCTGTGTGGATTCACTTAATCCCTAATATTTTCTTTATTTGACTCATCGTGCTCGGTCCGACTTGGGTATTGCTCATTGAATGTCTGGTCATTTGAGAGGAATTCTCGCACGTTCATTGACGCATCCTTGAAAATTGATTTTGTTTCTTCATATTTATTCAAGGCTTCCTCTTCATGGCTCGCTGATAAGATGATATTGTCGACGTAGAGATTCTTCTTGATTTCACGTGCAGTTTCAGTTTCATAATGTTCCAAATGATAATTGAGAGTTGCTGATAATAAAAGGGTGACGATATCACTCCAAAGGGGACCCTTTGAATCGATAGAAGTATATTAAATTATCTCTGTCCACCTGTTTCTGAATATCTTTACCCATAGAAAGCGTGTGCAGTCCCGTTCCGTTGGCAGCAACTCTAATTGTAGAGAAGGCTTTTTCGACGTCAGCTAATATGATGATTTTCATTGTTCTTAGTCGAATTAATATTCCAGCTAAATCGAAGGGTGATAGGGCCTCGATACAAGACATCGTTTAAGCTTTTCCTGCCTCTGAGGTGAGCGGAAGCGTCATAAACTATTCTGACCTTTGTCGGGTGTTATCTGATTTTACCACTTCATGATGGGGCAAGTAATGGATAATACCTGATGGTTTGTGAAAATGACTTACCCTTTCGATGACATTGGATCTAACTGTTCATTGATTGTTTCATTGTATGTGGTGTAGATGTTGGTTGCGGTGAAGTCGCTTGATTAACGACTGTAAGCGTCCGGACATATTCGAAATTGTCGCTTAATTTGGAACTGGTGTCTTCCATGGCCATGCGATTCTGGTATCGTCCGTCGGATTTTCTAATCGTTTGCTTAAATTGTTTTAAGGCTTCTTCATCGTCATTGTTTTCGGGTTTGTCTTGTATGCTATTAGTTCCAGTTTCCAGAATTGATCTAAATCTGGAACCTTGATCGTGTTAGCGGCGTAAACTATTTGTGAGGACATTCGTGAATTGGGAGAAATTTTCTTTGTATAGCCAGACCCAGCCAGGATCGGGCCCACTTTAGTGTGGATATGTGAATCCCGATTGCAGATTCTGCTTTGTCTAGAAATTGATGAATTGAAAGAAGTGGTTGGCTCCTATTAATATATCCATTGCTTTCATTCACTGTGGAAATCAATTGTTGGACTTCCTTTGAGGGATCGTATCTCGCTTTCACTTAAGTTGACTACTTGTAGTTTGTTTGTTAAATAGTCCACGGTGTTCGCTTCGAGCAACACTGTACGGTCCTTTCCGATTTTTATCCCTATTTCAATTCTTGTAAGGTGCGTGTTCGGGTCTTTTTTGCCGAATGAAGCGATGTTTAATTTCCTTCATCTGTTTCGTTAAGCATTAGTTGTTTGGCTAAGTTCTTTGAAACAAAGGATAATTGTGATCCATGTCGAATAGGGCTAAAGCCCTTTGTTGAGTATTTGGATTAGTTGGGTTGAACACATTTATCTGCTTGCATAAGAGTAGGATGCGCTTGTCACGTTTCTTCTCTTTTCGACTATTATATTTGTCGTGGTAGTGGAGTCTGGATCCTCTGGTTTATTGGGCATTTCCTTGAATTTGTTAGGGCACAGCGCGGAATTGTGTTGACCCTTGCAGTGGAAGCAATTCCGTTTCTTGTTTGCATCTGGCTGCCATATGTCCGATCTTGAAGCAGTTGAGGCAAGCGTTTAGTTTCTTCAGACGTTCCAGCCTTTTTTTGAGAGTGGGATAAATCTGGCACTCTTCATCCCAGTGATTCTTGTTGCATAGTGCACAAGGTCTTGATAGGGCTTTGATGATGGGTTTCTCCGGAACAGAGGTTGTTAAGGCTGAAGTCTCATTGGGATCGTGTCGTGGTCTTGGCTTGCCTTTTATTGGAGATTGATTCTCCATATTCCCTTTAAACCATAGGGACTGGCTTTGTACTACTTCTTCGTTCACAGATGCAAGCTCCGTGAGGAAGTTTCGGAGTTTGGTGACAGACCACGATTCCTGCCTCTTTCTTCTGTAAACCTGTTCTAGGATCCAGGTTGGCAATTTCCCTTCCACAGCTATTTCGATACCGGACTGCTCTAAATTCTCACCGATGGCCTCCAATTGTCGAAGTGTTCGCTCAATGGCCTCAAGCGTTGCTTTCCACTCTCTATCGTTCTTTTTGATGGAGTATAATTCGGTGAACAAGGCTCGTTTGATGGCGTAAGGCTGCCCAAACTTTTCGACGAGGACATTTCTTACGATACTGTCTCCGGAGTTATGTCATAACCTCTGATAGCTTGGAGGGCATCTCCTTTGAGACATGAGATGAAATAGTTTAGTTTATGGATATCGGGAATTGCTTGTTGATGTATAGCTGTATCAAAGCTATTCCAAAATTCCCTCCAGCGTCTTGGATTCCCACTGAATGTGGGCAGTGGTAGTTGTGGGAGATTTACTGTAGGGTATTTACCCGCTTGTGTGGGTTCCTTGAGTTGAGTTGTTTCCTCCCTTACCATAGACTGATTTAGCCGTTGTAATATGAACTCCGAATCATTTTGATACATTTTTAAAATGACTACAGTTTGTTTTGCTTGTAAAATTAAGTTGGTAATACCTGATTCATCGTCGTTTACCTGAAGGTATCGATCTTCTTCTTCTTTTCTTTTGGTTGAGACTGAAATCTGCTGGATGAATTGTTTCCACTCTGTATTGACCGATTCCAACGCCTCTATGTATATTTGGATATGCATGATTTTTTCTTGGGTGATCCTTCTCCGTTCCTGATGAAGACGGATTGTTTCGTCGGTTGTTGTCGTTTGGTCGACCGAATCCAAGTTCAGACTCTTGATTTCGTTGAGGACTTCATACAATCTTCGTTTTGTTTGGTCTGCGATTCTGATGATGATGGATGACATGTTCCCGTTCGTGGCACCATAAAATTGTTGTGAATGTATTGGATTGGATTGGTGTTGTGAATGGATTGAATTGGGTTGGTTTACTTGCACAATTGAGTCGAGTGCTTTATCTTGGGTAATTAAAACAAACAAGCAATCAGTAGTATGACAATTTAGTGACGAGGATGAGCTAAGCAACGAGGAGACTGGTAACAATGCTGGGAAGGATCAACTGCGGTTGAGTGGTAATTGCCCTTATATAGGATGATTTGAGGGTGGAGAGATAAAGCGATTGAAACAATGGAAGCTAGGAGGAAGGCTATGGGATAGATAGTTTTTGTAAACGGAATTAGATAACAAACAAAGGATTGGAGCAGATGTGCATTAGATAATATGACAGATTAGCAAGGGAATTTGTTAACACATTACCATCTATGAGTCATTAAGGAAATTGACTTACAATAAAACTTACAATAAATGATTAACATGATTTGCTTAAATATAAATACATTGATTTAAATTTGACCTTTTGCTAAATTCGATTGTTCGGTACAAAGATTATTTCTAGTGGAATTTCGAGCTTGTTCTCGACACTCCCGAGGGAAGAGCGAAAAGTGTTCTAATGGATAGATTTGGGGTTTATAGGATAAAACATTGTGATTGATTATTGTACGATTGCATTTTGTAAGATTGATTATTGTACGATTGCATTTGGCAATCGTTGTTGCTGTGCTGCTGATGATGTCACAGATAAGCTCGAATAACATCATCCTGCATCACTTATCACTTTTCATAGAGCAGCACTGGTACAATAATGCACGTAGTCAAAGTTTAAATTTAAAAGTGCTATCTTTGCAGCGAAACAATGAATGCATTAGTGACAGAATGAGATGAGTCGTTTTCAAGAAATTACTTGACCGTTATAGATGCTTCAGGATCCTGGAAATCACGATGTGGCATTTATATAATATTAATGTTACAGATATCACAGATATGTCGATTAAATGATTGCAAATATTCAAAAGTAAAAGTGGAAGCTTCCAAGAAGATCTTTATCATTGTTAGCAGGACGAATTGGTGCAATGAAGTTATTATCAAATGATATTTGACGCAAGTGCGAAAGCAATGAGGAAGAGCTCAAGTGTGATTGAATGGGCTACACCATACAATTACAGCAGATCGATAGATTCAGTAAATAAGATAATATAAATCTATTTGTTTATGATGACTGATTAATTGACAAGAAAAAGAGGTGTACAAAATTGATCTTAATTAATTGTAATTGCTATGGAAAAAAAACAAATTTGTTCCAACTATCTCGTTGCATCTATCTAATATGCACTGTTTTGAGTAATTCAATAATCTTTCTTTATAAACAACAAATTGGAACAGAAGAAAATGAGAATGTAAAGACAAAAAATATGAATAATGCAAATTGGACAGATTGAAACTATTTGATCTTTGGTCTTCAATTCCAACATATCTGAAATAAAAAGCTTTCATTTGAGCATTTCTGTCATTTCACAAAATTCTGTGTGGCCGTATTCTTTACTACACAATAACCAAATGATTTTTGACAAGAATTTTATCAGATAAGAGAAAAAAGTATATTTGTCATTACCCGGGTGTAATATGATGACGGTAAATTACAAAGAATATGTAATACGTAAGAAAACACACGGTCAGCCCTTCATCCATGAAAATCTATGAAGATCAGTCTCAGATTTCGATTCTTTACTGCTTATATCCTCAATTTTTTTTTATTAGAACCGCTGCAAAGTACAAAATTGAACCAAATGATGGATATTATATATTTTGAGCATTTCTCTCAATTCACAAAATTTCGTGCGGCCGTATTCTTTACTACATAATAACCAAATGATTTTTGACAAGAACTTTTCAGATAAGAGAAAGTATATTTGTCATTAGTAAAGATTATACTACTCAGATTACATTATACTCAGATTATAATTCTGTTATACTCAGATTATAATTCTGTCATACTCAGATTATAATTCTGTTATACTCAGATCATAATTCAGTCATACTCTGACCATAATTCATGTATACTATGATTATGACTAGTTATACTCATACTCAGATTATAATTCTGTTATACTTAGATCATAATTCTGTTATACTCAGATTATAATTCTGTTATACTCTGATTATAATTCAATTACGCTCAGATTATGATTCTGTTATACTTAGATTATAATGCAATTATACTCAGATTATAATTCTATTATACTCACATTATAATTCTGTTATACTCAGATTATGATTCTGTTATACTCAGATTATAATTCTGTTATACTCAGACCATGATTCTGTTATACTCAGACTATAATGCAATTATACTCAGATTATAATTCAATTATACTCAGATTATAATTCAGTTATACTCAGATTATAATTCTGTAATGCTCAGATCATGATCATGATTTTTTCGCTCAGATTATTATGCGATTATACTGAGATTATAATTCAATTGTACTCAGATTGTAATTCAATTATACTCAGATTATAATTCTGTTATACTCAGATTATAATATTTTTATACCCAGATTATAATTCTGTTATACTCAGATTATAATTCTGTTATACTCAGATTATAATGCAATTATACTCAGATTATAATTCTACTATACACATTATAATTCTGTTACACTTAGATTATAATTCTGTTATACTCAGATTATAATTCAATTATACTCAGATTATAATATTTTATATCCAGATTATAATTCTGTTATACTCAGATTATAATTCTGTTATACTCAGATTATAATTCTGTTATACTCAGATTATAATTTTTTTATACTCAGATTATAATTCATGTATACTATGATTATAATTAGTTTTACTCATACTCAGATTATAATTCTGTTATACTTAGATTATAATTCGGTTATACTCAGATTATAATTGTTATACTCAGATTATAATTCTGTTATACTCTGATTATAATTCAATTATGCTCAGATTATGATTCTTTTATACTCAGATTATAATTCTGTTATTAGAATTTAGTTATACTCAGATTATGATTCTGTTATACTCAATTATAATTCAGTTACACTCAGATTATAATTCAGTTATACTCAGATTATAATTCAGTCATACTCTGATTATAATTCATGCATACTATGATTATAATTCAGTTATACTCATACTCAGATTATAGATTTCTATAATTCAGTTATACTCGTACTCAGATTATAATTCTGTTATACTCAGATCATAATTCTGTTATACTCAGATTATAATTCTGTTATACTCAGATCATAATTCAGTCATACTCTGATTATAATTCATGTATACTATGATTATGACTAGTTATACTCATACTCAGATTATAATTCTGTTATACTTAGATCATAATTCTGTTATACTCAGATTATAATTCTGTTATACTCTGATTATAATTCAATTACGCTCAGATTATGATTCTGTTATACTTAGATTATAATGCAATTATACTCAGATTATAATTCTATTATACTCACATTATAATTCTGTTATACTCAGATTATAATTCTGTTATACTCAGATCATAATTCTGTTATACTCAGATTATAATTCTGTTATACTCAGATTATAATTCTGTTATACTCTGATTATAATTCAATTACGCTCAGATTATGATTCTGTTATACTCAGATTATAATTCTGTAATGCTCAGATCATGATTCTGTTATACTCAGACTATAATGCAATTATACTCAAATTATAATTCAATTATATTCAGATTGTATATCAATTATGCTCAGATTATAATTCTGTTATACTCAGATTATAATTCTGTAATACTCAGATCATGATCATGATTTTTTCGCTCAGATTATTATGCGATTATACTGAGATTATAATTCAATTGTACTCAGATTGTATTTCAATTGTACTCAGATTATAATTCTGTTATACTCAGATTATAATTCTGTTATACTCAGATTATAATTCTGTTATACTCAGATTATAATTTTTTTATACTCAGATTATAATTCATGTATACTATGATTATAATTAGTTTTACTAATACTCAGACTATAATTCTGTTATACTTAGATTATAATTCGGTTATACTCAGATTATAATATTTTTATACCCAGATTATAATTCTGTTATACTCAGACTATAATGCAGTTATACTCAGATTACAATTCGGTTATACTTAGATTATAATATACTATGACTATAATTCAGTTATACTCATACTCAGATTATAATTCTGTTATACTCAGATTATAATGCAATTATACTCAGATTATAATTCTATTATACACATTATAATTCTGTCACACTTAGATTATAATTCTGTTATACTCAAATTATAATTCTGTTATATTTGGGTTATAAATCTGCAATACTCAGATTATAATTCTGTTATACTCAAATTATAATGCAATTATACTCAGATTATAATTCAAATATACTCAGATTATAATTCATTTATACTCAAATTATATTTCTGTTATACTCAGATCATAATTCTGTTGCACTCAGATTATAATGCAATTATACTCAGATTATAATTCAGTCATACTCTGATTATAATTCATGCATACTATGATTATAATTCAGTTATACTCATACTCAGATTATGATTCTGTTATACTCAGATTATAATTCTGTTATACTTAGATTTTAATTCTGTTATACTCAGATCATAATTCTGTTATACTCAGATTATAATTCAATTATACTCAGATTATAAATCAGTCATACTCTGATTATAATTCAGTTATACTCTGATTATAATTCAATTACGCTCAGATTATGATTCTGTTATACTTAGATTATAATGCAATTATACTCAGATTATAATTCTATTATACTCACATTATAATTCTGTTATACTCAGATTATAATTCTGTAATACTCAGATCATGATTCTGTTATAGTCAGACTATTATGCAATTGTACTGAGATTATAATTCGACTGTACTCAGATTATAATACAATTATACTCAGATTATAATTCTGTTATACTCAGATTATAATTTTTTTATACTCAGATTATAATTCTGTTATACTCAGATTATAATTCTGTTATACTCAGATTATAATTCTGTTATACTCAGATCATAATTCAGTTATACTCTGATTATAATTCATGTATACTATGATTATGATTAGTTATACTCATACTCAGATTATAATTCTGTTATACTTAGATCATAATTCTGTTATACTCAGATTATAATTCTGTTATACTCCGATTATAATTCAGTCATACTCTGATTATAAATCATGTATACTATGACTATAATTCAGTTATGCTCTTACACAGATTATAATTCTGTTATACTTAGATTATAATATACTATGACTGTAATTCAGTTATACTCATACTCAGATTATAATTCTGTCATACTTAGACTATAATTCTGTTATACTCAGATTATAACTGCTATACTCAGATTATAGTTCTATTATACTCTGATTATAATTCAATTACGCCCAGATTATGATTCTGTTATACTTAGATTATAATGCAATTATACTCAGATTATAATTCTATTATACTCAGATTATAATTCTGTTATACTCAGATTATAATTCTGTAATACTCAGATCATGTATAACAGAATCATAATCTGAGTATAATTGAATTATATTCTAAGTATAACAGAATTATAATCTGAGTATAACAGAATTATATTCAATGTATAAATGAATTATAATCTTAGTATACCTGAAATATAATCAGAGTATAATTGAATTATAATCTAAGTATACAGAATTATAATCTGAGTATAACAGA